CGAGTTTGGGAGGGGGAATCTCCTTCGTAAATGAAATAGTACTCTTCAAGGTAACACAGATCCCTTGTTAGATTTTAAGTTTATGCATATGAAGATATCGGCTAGCCCTACAGAAGTTTCATTACCACGTACCCCCTTAATATCCTTTATCTTTTTATTTATTTTTGTTATTTTGTTTTGTGTGTTTGTGGCTGTGTTTTGTTTTGTCCATTTTTGCAAAACTTTCCAGTGAAAAAAATTAAAATTTATACCGGTGTATTGCGATTCGTTGATAGAAAAGAATGTTCCAATATCAAAATTTACATATGCCAAAGTTGATTGAACAGTGTTGAAACTGAATCAAAGAAACTGAAACACCTAATTGCATGACTCTGATGACCTTAAACAAAAAAATCATTTTTAAAACAGGTGTGTTTGTAAAACACTGATCCCCCCCCCCATGGCATCTTTTGGAGGGAGTTAAAGTTTCTCAAGTTAAACTCCAAGGTCATGAGATGAAAAATGTTGTTACCCAAAGAAAGGACTTTCTCAATAATTATATCTGTGAGATATGAAATGCCAAGCACCAACCATTCAAAAGTTATGACCAAGATTAAACTTTTTTAAATATGGGTCAAACTACAAAGGCAAGGTCAAAGGATTGATTTTAAAGCTACCCAAGGGAAGGCCTTGTCATTAGAAATACACATGTGAAATATTAAAGCTCTAACACCAACTGTTCAAAATTTATAGCCAAGGTTATGTTTTTCAAAACTCCAAGGTCAAAGGTCAAAATTGTTGGTATCCAAACAAACGCCTTGTCACAAGGAATATATCTGTGATATGTGAAGGCTTTAGTTCTAAGTGTTCAAAAGTTATGGCCAAGGTTATTTTTTTTTAAAGTGGGTCAAACTCAAAGGTCAAGATCAGAGGGTCAAAAATATTTATATCATTAGAAAGCTCTTGTCACAATAAATACAAATTTGAAATATGAAAGCCCTAGCTCCAACTGTTCAAAAGTTATGGCCAGGATTATTAAAGTTTGAATTTTTTTTTGTAAAAGTGGGTCAAACTCCAATTTCAAAAGGTCAAATATGGTGCTACCCAAAGAAAGGCTTTGTCACAAGGAATACATATGTGAAAGAAGAAAGTGATAGCTCCAACCAATTCAAAGAAATGGGCAAGGTTAAAGTTTTTGAGGACAGACAGACAGCTAGACGGACGGACGGACGGACAGGGCAAAAACTATACACCCCGAATCTTCGATTACGGGGGGATAAAAATACATGTATAAATGACTGTCACATGATCATCAAAGACATGTCATATCAAAACAAATTGATAATAATCAGTGTCACGAGCAAAATTAACATTTTTGTAATCGAAGATTCGGGGGTATATAGTTTTTGCCCTGTCCGTCCGTCTGTCTGTTTGTGGATAAGAAAAGAAACAAAATAAATAAATAAACATATACTAATTCTTACATTAGAAATGTTTTTATAAGATATTGATTTCTATTAGCTACATATATTCGATATTAGTTTAATATTAAAATCAAGAAAAAGTTTGATTATGCATTCGTTAAAGAAAGAGGGCATACAAGGCGAGGGCAATCCCCCGCTCTGAGATAATATATTTCTCAATTTTTAAAATTTATGGAAAAGTTTTATTTCACTAAAATTTTGTTTTCAGTAATGTCCTCTTCAACAAGTTTGATTTATTTATTTTATTGAACGACTTTTTAATTGATAATCTAATTCTAAACTTGACGGTTATAAGCATATTTAGTGGGAAACGGGTATATTAGAGCCATAAAAATGATTTTTGAACAAGAATGGGTCAAGTCTCCATTCTTCATTTACGTTAATTTAAATGACGGAAAAATAAATGTTAAACTGGTCTATTTCATGTTCCAAAAGAATGGAGACTGAACCCATTCCATATATGAAATTGAACATTTCTGAAAATAATTACACGCATCAGGAATATCACATATATATATATATATCAATAATTTATTCAATAAAATAAAGGAAGCAAATGTAAGATGATATTGACAATACAATTTTTGAAAAAGATAAATTTTCATGAACTTTTAGAATTGAGAAATCTTTTCTTAGAGTGGGGGATTGTCCTCGCCTTCTTTTCAAATGAAGGTTGATGTCTATCATAGGTTGCAATTTACTTTTAAATTATTAAAGACTTTCAAGATACAGCGGAGCCATTATCTTCCTATTTTCTGTTTGCCCTGCTTAACCGTTTAAGGAGATATTTTAAAATACAACAATTGCTTGTTTGTTGTTTAACGTTCCTCTGGAGAATTTTTCACTCATATGGAGACGCCACCACTTGCCGGTGGAGAACTGCAAATTTTTTACCTATACTCGGCACTCAGGGCCATTGAACATTACACATGTACAACAGTTGTAAAATAGGCATAAGAATTTTGTTGCCCCTGGGTGGTATGCACAACCCTGGACCCAAAAGATATTAAGTAGTCTTACTATGTTCAGTCTGACTTTTGACCCTTGACCTCAAACCAATAGGGTCATTAACTCAGTAAAAAGACTTTTCAAGATACTGATTGGACAGCACTTGTTCTTTCACTAAACTTAACAAGGAACATTCTGACAGACCTGTATAAACCAATTTGTCCCCTTTTTTCATGGGAGAGGGTATAATAATATAAACAAGATATATTTTATGAAACCATGATGCCTTCATATTATAGTTCATTGTCAAGGTTAATGTTTCTCAAATTCAAGACAAACTTCAAGGTCAAGAGGTCAAAAATTTTAGAGCCCAAAGAAAGATTTTTTTCACAAGGAACATACATGTGAAATATGAAAGCCGTTGTATTAGTCGTTCAGAAATTATAGTCAAGGTTAAAGTTTTACAAAAGGTCAAACTCCAAGGTCATGAGGTCAAAATTTTGGTACTCAAGTGAAGGTCTTGGCAAATAATTTACGTCATTGTCTTCGTAATCCTTTACTCACACAAGAAACATATTGGCATTCAGTTTCATATTCTATTGTACAATCATCAGAAAAAACACAAAACCTTAAGGAGGGAAATAGACACACATCAAATATGAAAGTTTTTGCATCAACTTTTGGTTTGGTTTGAACATATTTTATTGTTTAGATGATACAACAAAAGGACACAAGTTCTTAAAACTTCGAATGTCCTCTCCTTTATAAAAATTAATTACATAAAATAATGTTCAAAAATTAAACTACACTGGAACCAAAGGTCAATATGATTATCAGCTTACATAGGTTTTGCATGTACAAAATTAATTTGATGTGTACAACTGAATCTAAATACATGAATTCAAAAACGACCAGATCTCTTAATAAACAATTGCACATTTAAAAATAAACTTTCATTTTCAGAAATCATCTCCCCAAAACACAACATGAGTGTCTACAATATGTAAATTAATTATTCTAAAAATAGTTTCTTGGGGGCAGTGTATTTCGTACAAAAAAGAAAGAAAGAAAGAAATGATATGCGTCTTCTATTTTTCCACAAGTGCATAGTGGACTGTCAATGATATTACACCTAAATAAATCTTTATTCAGAACACAATTGTGTCTTAATCTAGTATGAATTACATTCAAGTAACGATCACCAAAAGAACAAGAGGCCCATGGGCCACATCGCTCACCTGAGCACATTGGCTAGGGAAAAAAAGCAAAAATCAGTTCAGTATTGAAAAGTTCATGGGAGGGGGTGTGTGTTGAATTTTAAACTACCTGATGATGCTTTCATATCAATGTAACAAATGGCTTTGCTGTTCTTAAGCAGAAGATTTTTTCCCATATATACATTTGTAAAAATTTGATCCCCCATTGAGGCCCCACCCTACCCCTGGGGGCCATCATTTGAACAAATTTCATTCAACACTACCAAAGGATGCCTCCATATCAATTTGACTAATCATGGCTTTTCTGCTCTTGAGAAAAAGATTTTTTGCTATATATTCCTCTGTAAACTTTGATCACCCATTGTGGCCCCAACCTACCCCCAGGGGTCATGATTTGAACAAACTTGAATCTACACTATATGAGGATGTTTCCACATAAGTTTCATTTTTCCTGGCCCAGTGGTTCTTGAGAAGAAGATTTTTAAATGATGCCATTATTTTTTCACTAATTCCTAATTATCTCCCCTTGAAAGAGGGTGTGGCCCTTCATTTGAACAAAATTGAATCCCCTTCACCCAAGGATGCTTTGTGGCAAGTTTGGTTGAATTTGGTCCAGTGGTTCTTGAGAAGAAGTCAAAAATGTGAAAAGTTTACAGACAGACAGATGGAGGGACAGACGGACGCCGGACAAAATGTGATCAGAAAAGCTCACTTGAGCCTTCGGCTCAGGTGAGCTAAAAAAAAAAAGATGGAGTAAGTGTTTTCTGAGAGTTTATATATTTTTGAAGGAATCTATAGTAGTGGATTGTCTTGTTTCTAGAGATAAAGAGTTCCATTCCCTTCTTGCCATTGGGGCAAAAGATGATTTATGAATATTTAATCTACACTTAGGGATGCAATAATTTTGTGATTGTCTTGTTACGTAATTTGATTCGTGTTATTGAATGTTTGGAAATATTCTTTCAGATACTTGGGTACCATGTTACGAAAATTTTTATACATAGATGTTCTTACTTTGGACATTCTTCTAACAACAAGTGGTTCCCAACCGTTTAAATGATATGACCAAGGTTAAAAGTTTTTCAAAAAGAATGTCAAACTACATGTACAAGGTCAAAAGATATAAAAATGTTGATGCCCAATAAATAGATAAATAACATAATGGGAGGCCTTGGTGCATTGAAATATCTTAATGTATTTCAAATTTCTCTACATATACAGGTAGGTCTTTTGCAAAACACTATATCTTACTATTGTTATAAACAGCATAAAAACAAACTGGCTCTCTAAAAATAGATAATTTAGTAACAGAATAACTATAGCATGTATATGAAGATGAATTAACTTCACTTAAATATTTTGATTTCCATGATTTATTTCTAACATATACATTAACTTAATAAGTAATATTAGTAACTTGTTAACATCAAATTGGTCAATAGTCATATAGTTATACATTTGTTCTGTGCATTCTTAACATATGCCTTTTCAAAGAGTGTTTATGCATTACCATATTGCACTTCTCACAGGCAGTCCACATCAGTCCTTTATGGAGAGCAATATGAGATAAAAGAGTCCATCTAGTGGAGAAAGATTTTCCACAAATGTCACATCTGATTTGACTATCAGGAATTTTCTCTTCTAAATGACCACTCTTGTTTTTACTCTCATGTACATTTAATTTGTGCTTTTCATATGGCAACCTTTTACAAAAGCCTTTGCCACAAATCTTGCAAACCCATGGTACAATGAGCAGTTTTTCTTCCACGCTTGAACTGTTATTGATTTTGTGCCTTATCTGATGAAGTCGCAAAGAAGAAGCACACATGTAGAGTTTCCCACAAATCTCGCACAGTCTCTTGCTTGAGGAGTTGTGGGTATCCATGTGAGAAAATCTGGACATCCAACTATGAAATCTTTTCCCACAGACCTCACAGAGAAATGGCTTTTCACCACTGTGTAGTCTCTTATGTTCTATGAACCGAGATTTCCACCTCAATTTCTTACCACATACATCACACGGAAACCTTGCAGGCTCATGTACTCTCTGATGTCTTTTAAGAACCTCCTTTAATTTGAATGTTTTCGGACACTTATCACATGCAAATGTTTCCATACTTGAGTGTGAAAGTTTGTGTAATCTCAGAGAAGTGGGATACATATAGGCCCGCTCACACAAATCACATTTATACTGTTTTGCGGTACTGTGCGACATTTTCAGGTGCATCACATATGAACATTTTTTTGTAAAAGATTTCCGACAATCCAAACAATTGTAAAACTCTTTCACTTTCTTCTTACACGTTTTACCACCCAAAGGCACATTACTTGGTTGCTGCACTGCATCTATCATCATTTCATCTCCTTGTTTATTTTGATCCGCATGCTTTGAATCACAACTCACAAAATAACTTACAGCATCTAAAATCATTTCATCTCCCTTTTTGCTTTGCTCTTTCTTTCTACACTTATTAAAACCAGAACCTACAATACTTGGCTGCACAGCCCCTAAAATCATTTCATCTCCTTGTTTGTTTTTCTCTTTCTTTCTACACTTATTACAACCAGAACCTACAATACTTGGTTGCACTAATCCTAAAATCATTTCATTTCCTTGCTTGTTTTGCTGCATGATGGTATCTGTGTTCTCTTTTGGCTGGCTCCCTGACTTATGACACAGATTACATATTAACTCTTTTGACTGGTTCCCTGACTGATGACACAGATTACATATTAACTCTTTTGGCTGGTTCCCTGACTTATAACACAGATTGCATATTAACTCTTTTGACTGGTTCCCTGACTTATGACACAGTTTGCATATTAACTCTTTTGAGAGTGGTACTTCTTCACGAGTTTCTTTCCCAACTGGTTGCCCACAAGAAACACAACAATACCAAACATAAGCACAACTGCTGTTCTTTTTGTGTTGTGTAAAGCTCTCCAAATTTTGGAATATTCTTCCACAAATCCCACATTTTGGTATTTTTGTTTGAATGACTCGAATGATTTTCACAGATTTTCCCTCACTCTCATAAGTTGGTAAATTAACTTCTTCCATTCCAACTTTTGGTTTCTCACAAATAATACCATGGATACACCTCAGATGGTGTGATGCATCAGTTTTAAAAGAGAAACTCTCTTCACAATACCCACATTTTATGATTTCACTTTGGAATATCTTGTGCTGTCGAACATGCGTCTCTAGATCTAATGAATCACTAAAACCCTCATCACAAATTCCACACTTGAAAAACTTGAAGCCAGTTTCATTCATTTTATCTTTGCTACTATTGTCTGTTAAATCTTCATTTGGACCTTTCTAAAAGAGAAAAAAAAAAAAACCTTCAAATGTCTTATTAAACTGATTTATGGATTACAAATTATGTATGTGGTATTAAGAATCATTTATAAGCAATGTAATCCATTCATAAAATTACAAATCATACAAGCTACTTTTTCAAAATTCAGATTCCCAATAAATTATGGAAAAGAAAATTAACTGGTTTACATTGACCATGTAAACCTCTACAAAATGCTGTACATTCAAACCATGTCAACCTGAACACAATGGATACGTGACTTAACTTTGAGCTATCCAAGTATTTAAGATATTGAGGTTAAAATAGATTTGAAAAACAAAGGTAATCAAAGATTACGAACCTCACCTCAACGAATGTTATCAGACTATGATCAGTATAAGTAATGCAAATTTCACATCATATTTGCTTTATAGTTAGTGTGCATGCTGACAACATTATTCATGCAAGTTCTGTTTAAATAGGTCTTATAGTTCATTGGGAATTGACCTGTTCCAAAAACTTAAACCTGTTCACTAATCACAGGGCTTAATTGACCCTTTTTGTACAGAGTCCTGTACCCTTTCCTTTGGGAATTTTTAATGGAAAAAGTGGAAAACCTTGGAAATACTGATGTTTCATATCAAATTAAAATGTTGATTAACATGATTAAAGAATAACTCTGAAGGCTTATTCCCTATTCACATCTTATTAATAATTAAAATCTCAAAATTTAAGTTTTATTTTTAATATAAATAGTACTGATTAATGCAATCTGCAATCATTTGGGAAATTTTACTTAAATTTTGGAAGAAAAAAGTCAATTTTCATTTGGGACAGGGTCCTTTTACAGGACCTGTATGCAAGGGTTATTAAGCCCTGAATCAAGAAAATGTCTTTCATTTCCTATATTTGAAGCAAGTCTGGAATTGTCCATCCTTCCATGCATCATCCATGCAAATTAAATCATAACAGGTCATATAATAATTATAGAGCTACTCCAAAAACATTGCCATGGTCACTCATTTGGAAAATGTAGGTCAGATTCAGCATCCAAAGCAAGTCTGGTAGTGTTCATCCCTAGATGCATCATCCATGCAAGTTGGTCCAGGTAGAGCTCATTTTTACTTGGGAATAGACCTGCTCCAAAAACTTTATCATGGTCACTCATCTGGAACCAGCATTCGAAGCAAGTCTGGTAGTGTCTATCCCTAGATGCAAGACAATATTGACCTGTGACATGTTTAATTTTATCTTGTATTAGTTCATATCCAAAAAATGCTGTCGGAAAAAATAAAATAAAAATATAAAATAAAATAATTTTCCTACCTACCTACCCTATTTTTTTCAGGCTGGTAGCAGGAAACAAGACTATTATTTTTTCTGGCTTGAGCTAAGAACAAGAGGCTATTGGGGCCACAGTGTCCACCTGAGTCAATTTGGCTGCTAGGCCAAAACTTTTACCTGAGTCAATTTGGCTGCTAGGGAAGCAAGAAAAGGGGTCATCAGCTAGAGGTCATGATTCAAATAAACTTGAATCTACACTATCTAGGATTGTTTCCATATTGACAAAATGTAGATTTTAAATATATTTTCTCCTATATATTCCTATGTAAAGTGTTGATCTTCTTTTGTAGCCCCACTCTAACGGAAGGGGTCATGATTTGAACAAACTAAAATTTAAACTAATTTCAGTGTAAAACTTTGATAAACTGTTGTGGTTCTGCCCTAATCCTGAGGTTCATGATATAAACCAACATGAATCTACACTACCTTTATAGGTAGCTTCCATAATAATTTTCTTATTCATTTAGCTTTGAGTGTTAGAGAATAAATTTCTAATTGATTTTCAGATTCTATATATTGCAGTCCTTGGATCTTTTAAGTCACCTGCAGTGGAGAGCAGCTTGCAGGCAATTATCCAAAAACTATAATGCTAGCAGCAAATAAATACTTATTAAAATAGCTGTATTGTACGTCATGTAACTCAATATGTTGAATATCATGAATATCTTGAACATTCTCTTTCCCACTGACTTCAAATTACATGTGACAAGGTTTGTCTATAGCTATTACTTTTACACTCTAATTGTTCACTTCACATTCATACAATTATTGTAAACAGGGAAATTTTTGCCCCCCTTTTTTTCACCCTTTTCACCCTCGTTGCAAGTGGATTAATTTTTAAAATAGGTGGATTTCAAAATAAACAGCATTTATTTATCTCTTTAATGCAACTACATCCAGGCAAATTTGGAATGGGGCACAATTGTTTGCAAGTGTTATAAGGTGAAAATAAGATGGGTGAAAATGACCATGTATACAATTTAAAGTACTTACACTAACTGCAACAAGACTATTTTCAACCCTTCCTTCTTCACTCATAGGGATGGAGGACTGGAGTTCATCAACAACTGAGCTTTCCTCTATTTTCACTTGAACATTTTCCAGTTCTGGTGTTTGGTTAAAATTTTGGACTGGTGGTGGTGGGTCCAATGTCTGAACTGGTTGAATAATAACTGAAAAGCTCTGCTCTGTAACCTCCACATCGGCAGGTCCAACTGTTTTTGAAGTGTCCACAGGTAATGTTTTGTTATTTACAAGCTGATTAAGAGTAGCAGCACTTTGAACACCATTGTTCAGATTAATCAGAATGCTAGGATTGCTGCCAATTGAACGGTTCATAACATTTGTGCTAGAGTCAGCATCTGTAGTATTTTGGTGAACAGGCATGGTATTTAGTGTTTTTCCTGTGTTCACACTAGGCTGGGATACCTGAGTTCCAAGGCTGTCTGTGTTCAAAGTGGTCCGAGAGGCCTGCTGAATCCCGGGGCTGTTCATGTTCACATTTCCTGATTGACCTTCTTCAGTTAGACAGCTTTTCAAGCTCCCTCAAGCACTGTAAGCAGTGTAGACTGAATCCTTAAGGTCTCTAATGTTTTGTTGCAGACTTCCTTGGGATCTTTGATTGACCATTATTCAAAGTAGAAAGAACTGCTTCTGAAACAGTTCTACATCAGGGAAGATAACTGCAAAACTAAAAAAAAGAAAAAAAAATTATTTATGCTTTTGCATTACTGGTACTTGTTTTTTTAAAAAAAAAAAAAAGGAGTAATTCTTTAAATTATGTACATGTATAAATATATGATTTGATGAAAAGTTCACACAGTGAGAAGTTATTCGTGTACATAACTTATGTGTCTTACTCCAAGTACCACAACTAGAATATGTCCCAATGCATATAGTTGCAGTGAGATCAGAGCAGATCTGTGCTCTAAACCTTAAATTTTAATTTGAAGGATACAAAAAGGAGTTACACTGAAAATAACTACCTAATTAATCATAATGAAACATTTTGGAGCTTGTACATGCCTTCTGCCTTACAAAAATAATTCAGTTATAAAGACAAAAATTCAATTTGTTTCTCAGCATTTTTTTTACTTCAAATTTATATGCCAAGCTGACCTTCTGTACTTTCTGGATTGTTCATAGTGAATGTGTAGACCCTGTTAGAATTATCTGTCCCTGTTTATTTTGCTACATTGACCACACACGGAACACGAAACCAGGTTCTTTAGTCATTTTAATCAATCTATATGTTTTAAAAGAGAGTGCAGAGAGCGGCACAAAGCGCCGCTTGCCACTGCGAGCTCTTAAAGCAATGCCTGGGCGAAGAGAAAATTCGGACTTTGCACATTGATCCAAATGAATTTTTTTCCGCAATCACCTGTGGTCCCATAATGCTTTGCGAATTGTATCTCGCTGCAAACTACGATCTCGTGGTACCCAGAAGTTCCAAGAAAAAATAAATTCACCTTGATTTAATGGATATATAGCAGATAAATAGTAGATTAAACGTTCTTTATTAAAATAAGCACTGTTGAGACTTTATGTTGGTAATGCAACTTACATACATCATGTGACGTCAGAGTCTAGATGTACGAAATATTACGTGCAACTGAAGAGCCCAATCTAAATTAAAACTGAATACCAGAAGGTATCTGGACAGGCCCTGCCAGTACTCCATCAACATATTAATTCAATAACATTTTGCTGCACAAATTTACCACAATGTCTTGTAAACACTTACCACATTCATATGCTAGTACACTTAATGAATAAAAATAATTAATAATTGTAAACATGTTGAAAGCTGAAAATCAGTTTTTCTATCTATTTTTATCTATTTTCTTCCCATCAGCATTCTTTCAAAGTTCATATTGAAAATTAGGAAGAATTATGACAGAGTGGCCATTAACATTTATAACTTTTCGTAAACAGCTCAAAATGGTATAAAGGTGTAGATCATTCTATATGCATGAAATGTACATTTAAGAAATGAATTTAATTTTTGAAGATTCATGAGGACATGAACTACAACGCTTCACGCCGGCATATTTCATGAAGCGCGTTAGCCGTCGTGAAGCGTTGTAGTTCATGTACCTCATGAATCTTCAAAAATTAAATTCATTTCTTATATTTACATTATTTTTCTGATGAGTTGCCACAAATTCTGCCATTCAACTGTCATTTTTTAAAGCAAAATAGTTTGCACTATACTTTTGACGTCAAGTGCGGTATTATGACGTAACAATGGAGATATTCATGCTCATTCATGGTAGTTCATGAGAAAATGAACAGTCTTCTAATTTGCAAAGAATATTAAGTAAAAATGTTTGGAAATGTAAATATAGTGTAATATACATATTATAGACCTATTTATCGTCTACGGCAACAGGAACATGCAACTGTGGATTATGTAGGAGAAAAAAAACCCATAAAAAAAAACACTACCCTTTGAAGGCCTTTCTACTTCTCAAGTTCTACCATGTCTACCGACTACCGAATATCGATACAGTCAAAGACCTCTTACAAGTAAAATCGCAAGGTACAATTTCTTTACACAGATCATCAACGTATACCGGTATTTCTGTGAATACATACCAAAAAATACAAAAATATTCAAGATATGTGTCAACGTAACAATTTGTTTTTCACCAACTAATGTACATTGAATCTCGAACCCGATGATAAACAAGAGGCCCATGGGCCACATCGCTCACCTGAGCACATTGGCTAGGAAAAAAAGCAAAAATCAGTACAGTATTGAAAAGTTTACAGGGAGGGGGGTGTTGAATTTTAAACTACCTGATGATGCTTTGTTGTTTTTGAGCAGCAGATTTTTTTCCCATATATTCATTTGTAAAAATTTGATCCCCCATTGTGGCCCCACCCTACCCCCGGGGGCCCTCATTTGAACAAATTTCATTCTACACTACCCAAAGATGCCTCCATATCAATTTGACTAGTCATGGCTTTTCTGTTCTTGAGAAAAAGACTTTTTCCTATATATTCCTCTGTAAACTTTGATCACCCACTGTGGCCCCAACCTATCCCCGGGGTAATGATTTGAACAAACTTGAATCTTAACTATCTGAGGATGCTTCCATATAAATATGACCAATCATGGCTTTACTGTTTTTAAGAAGAAGATTTTTAACGATATTTTCCTATATATTTCTATGTAAAACTTTGATCCCTCATTGTGGCCCCACCCTACCCCCGGGGGTTATGATTTGAACAAACTTGAATCTACACTACCTAAGGATGCTTCCATATAAATATGACCAATCATGGCTTTACTGTTTTTAAGAAGAAGATTTTTAGAGATATTTTCCTATATATTTCTATGTAAAACTTGGATCCCCCATTGTGGCCCCACCCTACCCCCGGGGGTCATGATTTGAACAAACTTGAATCTACACTACCTGATGATGTTTTCACATAACTTTCATCTTTCCTGGCCCAGTGGTTCTTGAGAAGAAGATTTTTAAATGATGCCATTATTTTTTTTTAATTCCTAATTATCTCCCCTTGAAAGAGGGCGTGGCCCTTCATTTGAATAAACTTGAATCCCCTTAAGCCAAGGATGCTTTGTGGCAAGTTTGGTTGAATTTGGCCCAGTGGTTCTTGAGAAGAAGATGAAAATGTGAAAAGTTTACAACAACAACGACAACGACGACAGACAACGGACAAATTTTGATCAGAAAAGCTCACTTGAGCCTTTGGCTCAGGTGAGCTAAAAAGTAGTGTGCATATCCCGAACCCAATGATTTGTGGTCTCGGATATTTTTTTAATTAACATGATTAAGGAGGTTCGATCCTGAGCTTTTGAGCAATTTTGGTCTGGACCTTTATTTATAAAATTCTGCATCATTTCTAAGTTCAAACATTAAATCTGGATTCTACAATGCAAATTAAATTATATACAATGAAAAAAAAAAAACGCAATTAAATTCCATTCAAATAGGATTAAGCCAGGAACTATATTTTGTGGCAGAAGGTTTTTTTCCCCTTTTGATATATATACAATACTGTTAAATTTAGATTCCTATTTTCCATGCTGGTTGCACACAGAGCTGTTTTTGCAGTGAAATGTTTTATGCTGGTTCTGAAATATCTATTAAATTGTTTCTTATGAATTCTTTCTAAATATAATTATTATATTGTGACAAATATAGTAAATATTAGTAAATATATTCTGAAAGTCCAGGAAAAAAAATTAGCCAATTTTAACATTAAATTGACACCTTTTCAGTAATATCTAAAAATTTACATCATAGACCCCCACTTTTTGTTTTCTTCACTGAATATATATAAGATAGCTTTGATCAATCTGCCTAAATTCGGAAAAAGTTTAAGACTTTAAAATAATTTTCTTGCTTGTTAAATATTTGATGCCAGAAAAATCACATTTTTTGAGTGCAGAAAGGTCAAATAATTGATTATGCGAAGCAATTCGAAACTTTTTCTTAGTCACAATTTTAATGTGTCTTTTTTGAAATAGGCTAACAGTTTATTTTGTCCCATGATTTATTTGGATAAAAACATTGGAGGGTAAACGTCGAAGATGTGATTTTTGATTAAGACACAAATTTCAGTGCAAAAAGGTCATGTTAAATGTACTGTAGCGCAAAAAGAAGGATATGTTTTGATTTTTAATTAAGCTATGTGTGTAGAAACTAAAAATATACTTGACAAAAAAGTTTAAGACTTTAAATATCAGGATCCATCCTCGTTAAGGGGAGGATTTTAATTTACTTAAGAAAAAGAGGAAGACTATTGGTCTGTCAATGAACATTAAATCGACAGTTAAACATCGTGTTTTGTATGGTAAAATGAAGTCTACCGAGTAACATTTTTACATTTTCTCGACGAAACTATGATTAACAACAACTTTGTCAGTCTTAGAGGGGGGGGGGGGGTTGGGGGGTTGGAGGGGCGCCGGTTGCGCCTCCCCCGTTAAATCCGCCACAGGACTCCCCATCCGATAAATACATTGTGCCTGCAAAACAAAAGTTCAACGTTAAACTTACTGCAACAAAAGATATTGAGTAAAATAATGTTAAGCTACTTTTGAAACATGTATGTACATTGTAGAGAAAAAAAAAAAAATAATGAGGAGAAAGCATAAATTCAGCATGACTTACCAGTTAATCTAATATAGAAATTTTTGCATTTTTGTAATGATCAGAAGAATATTTTTTTTCAAAGTAGCCTCATCTGCTTTTAAAATGTTCAAATATATTATTTAATACAAGTATATCATTTATTCACTTTTAATATCAATGTGAAATGTACATATTTTAAAATTCAAATTCATATTTTATTCATATATTTCTTTATTTACTTTTAACTTTAAAATGATCGTCAGTTAATATAGAGTTGAAAAGCTGTGGATCAGACAGGTAAAGAATTTGCTGAATTTGCGATTTTTTGTTCAAATTTATTTTTTATTTTGTTGAAATATGAAAGACAATTGCGAGTTAATCATATTATACCAGTGGCGGATCCAGGAATCTTCAAAATGGGGGAGGGCGACCAGTTTGGGGTCGAGGTAGGGGCCCACGGCCATACAAAAAAA